GTGTCAAAAGTAAATACGCAAATTTTGTATCAATCAATTATTTTCTTCAACTTAAAATATAACAGAATGTTACTGCTAAGAGAATGATGACTCAGAGTGACAAACTTTGGTTATGATGAAACACGATTGAATTATACTGATACCAAAACCTTTTTAAGTATGACAGTACATTAACATTCTTTATTAAAACAGTTACTTTAACAAACAGATGGTTGTTTGTAACAAATGAATTTTGGATTAATTATTCCCAAGTGAAATGTAACTAATGAGCAGATCGTCTGGGAAAGATTACGTAATTCTTCATAAGTGCTGTTAATGGTGCTTAGCTTGGTTAAGACCTTATGATGCACGAGTTGCTCATTTTCACGATGTACACGTTAGCTTGCATTTAACAAAACAACATTAAAGCTGAAGAACATTCGTTAAATTTTATAAAATCTGTGAATTCTCATAATGCGTCGTTTAAAATTAACTTATTCAGAATTTCATATGCACAGATCCTTGTTGATGGTATAAGAGAAAAGATAATTTCTCCTTTCAAATCACGAGATTAAGCCCTTGAATCAGTTACTGCAAATAGGGTGTTTGTTGCTGAAATAATATCATGAAGTATTTCGTAGTTTTCTCCAAATCTTCGCTTTTGTGGTAAATACTAAAATATGTCTCACATTTTCTCAGCGATCACCGAAGCACGAATAGCAATCATAAGCGCAATGCTCGGGCAATGCGAAGCTATTCTCTTCGCCTAAAGCACTATCCAGCAGGGTTTTGGAAGGACGGCTAAGTCATGCTGCGGCATACTTGCTTCCTGCCTTAATCCAGATTTGATCCGCAAGTAACGTTAACGTTCTGGCGCTAGATTAGTTCCGAAGAGTTAACTGCTGCCTGGTGTACAATTTGGCTTTCCGCAAACGAACGTGACACGAAAGCCAAAGACATATAAGACTATATTAAGTCTAATCTACTCTGTTCACAGGAATTTCTGATTAGCTGAAGTACTGGCTAGTCTGTAAAGAACATAATAATTTGTTTCTAGACCAATTTAGTTTCTCTCCCTAATACATTAATGCTTTCATCATGAGTAAAAATCTGAGGTGGACACAATACGACTCCCTTGCACGCCCTATTAAATTATACACATTTTTGCCACATTTCATTGAAACTTATTTCCTCGAATTATAACTTAATTAACCGAACCGTTAAGGCAAGTTGAAAAATTGGAAATTAAATATCCCGGTCAATTTCTGTACTACGGGAGTTAAATTTCTTTTTATTTTATTTTATTTTTATTCTTCCTTTCATACACTAGACACCTTTCCACTATATAAGTATAGGAACCAGCAAACTGCAATATGAGTTAAATTTTGTTATTTTTACAAATTTTGTTTCAACTTAACTTTGGCAAAACGTGAATATTTTCGTCACTTCTAACACTTCTGTAATTGGAAGTATATGACTACGAACAACGATTGCGAAAATAAAGGTGGAGCGAGGATTTGGTTATATATATACATACTTCTGGTACTGCGGACTCTAGTAAGAAAGATAGGTACACAACTAAGTGTTATAGCAGTTTCATATTGAAATTTTCAATGCTCTACGGTTAATCATTTTTGAGTTATGAGATATATACGTCGATACGTAAGTACAAATGTCACGAAAAAATGAATTTCTTATCCATTTTAAATCTATTTTACAATTCGTTTTGCAAACAAAATAACCCTTTATTCTGTCTGTACATGAAGACGTTAAGGAAACAAGTAGTCAAAATACATTCGAGAACGGTTAAAATGGATATTTCGGTTGAAATATTGGTTGTACCCGATATTATTTTTTGTGATTGAAATACTTTCTTTGCTTCCTACCAGGAAGTAAAAATTATTTAAGACATTCAGTTGAAGTGCAGCACTGAGTAATTTATATTATTGTAAAAATACATAATTGCTCAAGAGCTCTGTATTAAGCCATATTTTTGAATATAATGAAAGAAAAAATTATTTGTATTAACTTCTAGAAAATGCATTCTTAGGAAGTTTCATGTTTATTTGTTGTTAGTTTCTGAAAGGATTCCGAACTTTTGTACAATAAATTTATTATAATGAGCTTTATTATTGTTTTGTGAGTATGATGATTGGTATTCTTTCCTACAAACCACATATAGTAAAGTTTGTTTAAATTGCAACGTTGTTTCAAACTTCAGAAAATTTACGTTAAGTGGTTGATCATAAAATGACTAACAAAAAGTCTGAACTTAAAATCTGTGCCCATCAAAACAGCTTCAACGTAAAATCTATGCACAACAAAATAGCCTTAGTGTAAAATCTTAACGCAAAACATTATTTGCCACTGCAAGTACTTAATACAACTAAAATGGAAATAAGTAAAACTTTGTGTGACTTCTCCTCATTTCACAACAATAACTGTAACTCGATATGCTAAACGCGACTATAAGGGCAACAGCAAGCTGGGTTGGAACGTAAATTGGGTAATTTCTTAAGTCTGTCCGATCTCCTTGAAAGCTAAGGTAGCTCTAATCCCTCTCTGCAAACGGGCTTCTGCAGCAACACAATAGTATTCTGGAGCACGTTCATGGTTCAGATTCGCTTGTGCAAAATTTGTCTAAATCTCTGGTCAAAGCGAGTACCGAGATGACGAATGTATAGGCAGAAATTTAACATAAAGTTTAAATGTTAGTGAAACTTAATTCAAAAGTGTCACAAGCTACCTTTATATCATTCTTGTGTTTTATTCCCTAGGGGTAAATAGGGATTAAATATATTTAAAACGCGTTATTTTCATTTGCTGTGGTTTAAATCTAGGCTTAACTAGGCCTTTTTTACATTTACTAATGATACATACTTAACGTAAAATGTTTAGAATGCTTCTTCACATGGTGTATCTGTGAAACATAAAATGTTTTTGATGTTAAATCGTTATCATCATTCTCTTTAAATGATTTATTTTCGAAATTCCTTCTTAAAGGAAATGGAAGCGAGTATTAAGTTTCTTCTTTTTCACCATCACTAGTAATGGTGCTGCTTTGGCCATTAGGATACATTTATGCCTTATTGTCTGTGCATCAATTCAGCTACTCGTATCATGCTATATATCATCTTTCATACAACGCGTTGTCAGGAATCCTTATCAAAAATCCTTCTATTTCTGTAATATGAATTCCATATAAATTTCGTAAAATAATACATCATTTCTCTTTTATGCGAAGATTTTATTCGATGATGTAAGTTATACTGCGATTTGGATGAGACATTTTGATCATATAAGACATATTGAAAATGTCTTTAACGTTTCTTTATGACTATTTATGCAATTTTTGGCGTTTTTTGAACCGCTTATCAATTTAATGATTTGTCAAACAATATAAGTTAGAATAAGAATGTCGCTCTGAAAGTAGAACAAAGATATAGTAATAAGGATATGTCACACTGAAATCCATAAAATAAGTTTTTGTCGTAGGTTATTTTTTATTTATTAGATTTGGAAATAAATGTTTCGAAAACTGTTAGAAATGCAATTATGCTGAGAATATCTAGAGGAAAAGAATATTATTTACTTGAATTACATTTTAATTAAATCACAATGCACAGAAGTAGTCACACGTATTCTCATTCTGGAAGCTCATGACACCGAAATAGTCGCTCAGACCGTAAATGTGATCTAGGAGCAAATAATATTGTTACGAACGTAAGGATTCGTAATGGACTTAAGACACAGAACCCATGAAAGCTTAATGAAATTTATTTCTTCAAAGAGAAACACTATACAGTTCCGGAAAATTTCACACAAAAGCACTCGTACAACTCCTCTCAGTACGACAGAGCACAATGAATATTTACCACTTCAAACCACTAAGAACACTGAACAGAAGGTAATGCTAAGAACTTCAAAAGCGTAAAGTCGCATGTTAATCTCCTGATAGTCTGAGATAACCTCTGAACTCAACTGAGATTTGATGCTCTCTCCGGGCTTATATAGTTTTCCCCCTTCCAACGAAAAATTTCCTTCGATTTCTCGAAATTATTGGAAGGCATATGCAGTTACGTAGAGAGAGGACCAGTTGCAGGCATACAGAGATCGGACTAAAATTTCGAAATCGCCTAACTTTGCGATATTTGGCAATTTGTCAAAACGTTTGTACCAAAACCATCGCCGGTTTGGTGCTATCTGGCCAGTGTGGCGCGATAGTTAAATCGACTCAATGTTAAATGGAATTGCCCCTGTAACGTTCATTTTCCAATCACAACGATCTTCTATCAGCGCTGAAAACTTGAGTTGCTTCGGAATATTAGCTATCTCAGCCAAATAGCACAAACGTTAGAAGAGAAAATTATTTTTCAAAATTAAAAATAATGATAATATGCTACTTCACTAGTTCATATTAATAGCTAGTTTACTGGAGTTGCAAACTTGTGTTTCGATGAATCAATATTATATTCTAGAGACTTATAATGCTAAGAGACTGAAAAATCATCTGTGTTCTGCCAGTATTCGAACCATGGATCTTCCAGTTGCTAGATTTGTGTGTTAACTGCTTACTCTACAAAACCATGCACAGGGGGATGTGAAAGTTTCTGGATAGTACTGCAAATGCGTTTCCGCGAAGATAACTCTTTTAGAGTGATCGGTTTGAGCATCTTGCTACAATGTAAATGATGCAAGACTCAAGGCTGACACGAATCAGTGCAGAATAGCCCAAAAAATGCTTGACATTCACTGGTGCCATCTATTGGCAAGTCATCTATCGGCTTAACAAATCATAACAGCATATATTAACACGTTATCAATGCCGAATGTAGTACATATTATCAGGTTCAATGTTCCGTCTTACTTTCTTCGGGAACATGCAAGGACTTGACTCGGAACAGAGAGCTTACTAAAGCTATGTTCAATAACTGTGGGAAGTAGACAGGATACACAAGAAGGGTATACAAAACTCTTTATTTCCTCTATTTACAATAACTTCCGTACTTCGGAATACAAAGACCCACCACTACTTGTGGTCTAAACGTAAAAATATAAAAATAAAAATAAACTCTAATTTAACTTTAAAATAATAAACGTGGAAGATTGGCCTTATATTAACAGGAAGCCGTATGTAGTACAGAGAACTGTGAACACTACAATACGTTTAAAAATTATCAAGAGGATTAAACCTCTGGCCTGGAAGGCAACCAGCAACTGAGTAAAACTTCTAAGGTAAGCGGCCTGCTTCGAATAACTGCTTCCTCTCTCTCGCTTGGCAAAAAGCCACAACTTAAGTACTTGGCGTTCGCCAGACAAACTTTGCATAAATACGTTAACGCTTATAATTCTGGCCGGAAGTAGAAAATAAGAAGTGATAGTAAAGATTTAAAATAAAATAAACGTTAGTAAAACTTAAGATCCTTACATACTTCCCGCCAGAGTTAATTAGTTTGAAACTGAGGTCTAAAACGACCTTGTTGAAAACTTTTAGCTCTAGAATCTAACGCGAGGACCAATCTTTTACAAACATTTTTCGCTAGAAACTAGAAATTTAAAAGAAAGAAATTTGTTTTTACAATAGCAGCTCCCATGGACACGCATTTTTTTTCATCTGTACTGCATCTAAACAGGAGCTTTTATTCAAATCTGGTTCCTTCCAGAGATCTGGAAGGAAAACTAGTTTAATGAAATGTTACACAATGAAATGGCAAGTAACATGTATAATTATATTTCTCTTAACATTCTTATTTCATTCATGACTATTTTAATTATCTCTCCCCGTGCTCTCTGACATGTGTTGTAAAAGAACACCAAACACGAATGTGTTTATGTCTATGTGTTCAACACTTCCTCCTCCTACAATCAAAACACTAACGTGTTAAAATTCAACATACCAAGACCTCAGTAACACACCCTAACTTCAACTCTAAACCCTGAGGTACTATTCTGAAAGTGGCTAACTCTGAAGTGTAGCGTCAGAGAGCCTAACTACATTCATTCAACCTTTAACACATATTCACCATGATTTAGTCTTTTTACAGTCACACGAATAAAAAAAAAATTTTTAACATTACTTTCACTTTTACCATATCACGGTATTTCTTAACATTTGAAAATAACAGTTCACATTGTGTATAAGAACATATTAACATGCCGTTAATTTTACGCATTTGAAAACATACATTAGTAGTACATTGTTAACTTCTATTCTTTTCAAAGCAAGTGCCAATTCTTTCTACATTGAAATACTACATTTCAAAAAGTCTTTCAGACTAAAACTTCTTTCTTGCCAGAATGTTTTAAATAAAATTTATACAATAACTTTTTACAATATTTAAGTCTTTACACATCGCTATTATACATCAACTTTAGTTTTACGCGCGAGTAATTGAAAAACATAATACCAAAATCGGTAACAACTCATTTCTCGCCCTTTTGGCGATAAAGGTAGACCTCGCATGAGGTAAAACTTCTTGAAATCTGCCACTTGCAGTAAGAATGAAAGATTAACTTAAGTTTGCAAAGTAACATAAAATTTTACTTATCTTTGTGATATTCGGACATTCTTTTCTGAGCCCAGTCCTGGAAAGTAGCGTAGATTGTTGTTTGATTTATCCTCCTTCTTGTGCGGGCTCGCCCTTCAGTGCCTTCCTCTAGAAGCTTTCTTTTTTTTCCAGTTCGGTCACCCTTGAATACCTTCTTTTTCGCCTCTGCCTGTGGTCTTGGCCGTTTGATGGCAGCTGGTCTTGGCGGAACCGGGAAACTTCTTCGTGTTCCTGCTTGGACCTCGTTGCTGGCCGTTCAAATTTTCCTTGTAACTTTTTTCCTCCGCCGCTGATGGCCCTTCCGCAGTTCGGCGACATTTGCTGCGGAGAGTCCTGTCGGATGAGTAGATCTTCCGTTTTAGAGCCGGGTTATAGTTGCCGTCATTTCTCCTGGCTCTCTTTGCATACGTCGTCCTTCTCCCTTCTTCATTCTGGGGGTGTTCGTGAGCTCTCTTTTCTGGACGGTGGAACGGCTTCTTTTTCTTGTTACCTTCAATTTTCCCGCGGGGAAACTTTCTTTTTCACATTGCTCCTGCCTCTTAATGGCTTGTCCCTTGTACTTGTCGTTGTTCCACCTCTGGAGCTTGTGCCTGCGGTGTGTTTGCCGTGCCGGATCCTGCAAAAGATCTTTGAAAAATTTGCATTTTATTACGATCATAGTAGGGTTTTGATTTGATCAATGTTTGCGGAGCAGGTTTCACCATTCTTGGCTTTTAACACTACAGCGTGAGTTTTTTCTTCTATGACCATATGGTCCTTCAAATCGTGAAAAAAATTGGCAGTTTTTATCTTCTGGTGCTGAAGAAAGTGAATGCTTAATTTTTAATACTTCATCCCCTACTTTATAAGTTACTCCCCGTCGTTTCAAGTCGTAATACAGCTTTTGTTTTCTCTGTGCTACTTCCGTATTCTTTTTTGCTTCTTTAATTAGTTTTTCTATATCACCCATTTTAAATTCTGGGGCTCTTTGTTGCACATAAAATAATTTATCTAACGGCGTTATAATCTTTCTGCCTAAAAATAACTCAGCAGGAGTTTTTGCCCGTTGTATCATGTTTTGCGGTCCTAAGGGCGAAAGCAAATTGATTGACATAGTTATCCCAGCTTTTATGAAAATTTTTAACATAACTACGGATAATTTTCACTATATTTCTATTGACCCGTTCCGCTATATTTGATTGCGGCCGATACGGGACCATTTTTAAATGACGTATGCCCAGTTTTTGGCACATGTCTTCAAATATCTTACTTACAAATTGAGGACCATTATCCGATATAACTTTTAGGGGCGCCCCGTATTTTAAAATATATTTATTTAAAATAGAATCAGTAACTAATTTCGCGGAGGCTCGTTTTAAGGGAACAATTTCGGTCCACTTACTAAAATGATCAACCATAACAAGGAGATAGCGACTTTTATTTAACTGACTTTTGGGGAAAGGGCCCAATAAATCGATGTCCAATTATTTCATTTGGAAATTCGGATTTAATACTATTTAGAAACCCGGCCGGGCGGAAATTAATATAATTAACTGCTTGACATGTTGGGCAGGACTGGACATACGCCCTTGTTAACTTTTGCAGTTCAGGAAAATAGACTGCCTCGCGTACGCGTTGATAGTTTTTCGAATACCAGCATGAGAAGCTAAAGGGCTGTCATGGAGCTCCTGCAGGATATTTAATCTAAGACTAGCTGGGATAACAGGTCGAAATTCGTTGTTGGAATTCGTAGTTTTGTATAGAATAATAGACCATCTATTAGTTCGTAATGGGCCGCCCTATTTCTTATCGCCACAATATCTTGGTGGCTAAAATTTTCAGGATCCTTTAAATACTCATAAATGCTTCCAAACTCAGGATCCTTACCCAGTTCGGTTATTACAGTTTCTCGGGAATTTATTGTACATGCTGTGAGCATTGCCACCTTTACGGTATTACCTTCTTCATCTATTTTAATTCTGGATAGGGCATCTGCTACGATATTTTCCTTTCCGGGGGTATGCTTGATTACCAGATTATATTCTTGTAGCTTGAGTGCCCATCTTATTAACCTTGGGGATAAGTTTTTCCCTGAGTACAATCTAGTTACCACCCCGCATGATCAGAATACACTGTTATTGGCGCCTTTCCAAAATAGACTCGGAACTTTTGCACTGCTAACAGAACTGCAAGTGCCTCTCTCTCGGTAGCGGAATAGTTTCTTTGTGTTTGATTTAAATTTCGGCTAAAAAATGCCACGGGCTGCTGATTTTGCGAAAGTACCGCTCTTGCCGCATAATCCGAAGCATCCGCTGAAATTTCTAAATTCTTATCCTTTTCAGGAAATTTCAACACAGGGGCTTGCGTTAATGCTTGTTTTAATTTTTCGAAAGCACTATTGGCTTCGGCCGTCCACGAGAATCTTGCCTTTTTCCTTTTTAATTTTAACAATGGTTCAGCAATAGCTGCAAAAATATTTGGTGGATGTTATGTTCCTTAGAATTTCTTCAATAATAGGTAACGGATATACCGGATATTTAGTTATGGAGTTTAATTTACGGTAGTCAATTGCGAATCTCCACCTTTTTGGATGTGTCAAAGGATAGTCATTATTTTTCTTACATAAAACCACCGGGCTAGCATAACTACTTGAGATGGGCGTTATGATCTTTTTACGTAGCATATCGGTGATAAGCCATTCTATAATTTTTTCCTTATTCTTATCATACCGGTATGCTTTGTGGCGAACTGGCATTGAATCTCCGGTGTCAATACTATGGTTAGTAACCTGAGTAAATCCTGGAATATCACTAAATAACGAAGCAAATTCACTTACCACTTGTCGGATTCTTCGCTGTTCTTCATTAGGCAGGTGGTCAAGATTTAACTTCGGCGGTTCAGCCTTTTCTCCACGAACTGGTTTCATCGTCAGCTTAAGCGAAGCTTCATTAAAATCCAGCGTTGCTTGTGCCTCTGAAAGTAAATCTATTCCTAAAATAATATGTGCTTGCAGATTCTTTACTATGAAAAACATCACCTTTACTTGTTCGTCCTTGATACGGACATACAGCGGTAATTTACCTATACACTTACATTTTTCTCCTTGCGCCGCTCACACTGTCATATTATCCGAATTATATATACGATATTTCAGAAAATACTTCCTAAAAAATCTTCTGCCACACAGGAACATTGCGCGCCAGTATCCAGGAGTGCGCGGTGGCTGGGATATTATTCACCAATACTTCAATCTTCGGAAGAGTCAAATTTTTCACCATTACTGTATTTAACTTGAAGGAAGAGGGGTTTTCGTGGCCTTCGGATTTCCGCACCCTCCCGTCAGCAGAAATCCGTTTTAGTTTAATTATTTTTCATTTCCGTGCTTTCCTTCTTTTTCCACTGGCCTTGAGACTTTTTTCCTGGATTGCTATTGAACTGTCGACGTTCGCCGTCTGTTTTTGAATGCTCGGGTTTCCTTGCCCACTGATTCGCTTTGCTTCCGTAGCCG